AAAGATGTGTTTAAATACAAGACGTTCAAAAACTTTTTCTGTAGTGTTCAAAAGTGATATGGGTCTATAGTTATTTGGGAGAAATGTATCGCCCTTTTTGTGAACTGCAGTGACATTCGCCTCTTTCCATGTGATTGGAACTTCACAACATCGTAGAGAAGCATTGAATAAGTCACACAAGGGGGAAGATAGTTCATGAGAAGCCTCGCGTAAAATTCTATTACTTATACCATCTGGACCTACTGCTTTGTCAACTTGTAACGAAAGAAGAACATCTTTTACTTCATGAGGGCTAAGCACAATATCGTTGAGACAGGAAAGCGGTGAACTGAGGTAAGGTGGATCTCTGTTCTCATCGTTAATAGACATTTGTTCTACGAAGAAGTTATTTAGAAGATTTGCCTTATCGTTATTTGAGTAAACAATATTTCTGTTTAAGGGATCTGTCAGTGGTGGAATGCTACTATTATTTGTTGATGAAATAAAAGATTTCAGAGTCTTCCACCAGTCTTTAGACGAAAGTGATTCATTTTTCAATTTATTAGAGAGTTTACAAAAATAGTTTGACTTGGCTTCCAAAAATAATTTATTTGAGTATCATGTTTATCATATTAGACTATTTAAGTTTTGAGGTACAGGGACTTTAAAAGAGTATACATACGCTATTATTTGTCATTTGTCCTTTGTTGTATTTGCTGTTAAATATTATGCGTGTATGATAGTAATTGTATACAATTATTCAGGATTCATGATTTAATTATCAAAGTACATATTTTGTAAAACAATCATTTACAATGCGTGCAAATATCAAGGACTTTTCCAAAGTGTCATGTAAGATTATTATATAAATCAGCTTAATGTCGTCAGTTGTTGATTTTATTCAGCATGACAAGACTTAGTTATCTCTCCGTTTTATGTATTAAACAATATTCATTTGTTTAAGTTATTCAATAAGAGGTTGTTTATTAAAGCTGATAATATGTCTTACAAACGAGGAATTACTTCGATTTCACACGATCTTTCCCAACAGACCTCGTACTTTTGCTTATTAGCATATATATACATGTACATACAGCGTACAAAGTATATTTTAATTTGTAAAAAAAAAGTGTCTCTCACTTATTTGAAATAAAATTTGAAATTTTTAAAGTTTGAATATGTTAAATTTGTTAGATAATTAGGAAAAACTTGGGTTTTTAAAAATACCACCTGCTCATGCGTTCATTTTGCAAACCTATGAAACCACATGAAAAGTTCGGCTCATGCGTTCATTTTGAAAATTCGCTTAAACGATATTATACTCCAAAAATAGAAATAGAAATAGAACAGGCGTTTGGTGGATGAGGATATGTTAATAAAGAACCTTATGAGCGATACAAATGTTTAGAAGTTTGCTTGGATGTCAAGTTATTGGCTATCAAAGAGCGATTTTACCAATTTTGTGACTTTTCTTGTGCAGTTGTCGATAATGATCTAATAAGTTAACAAAGATTTGGCGAGTTTGAGATGCCTGTCGAATAAAGTAATCATACGAGATCAGAATAGGCTTTAAAATTTTGTGAAATATGCATTTTCAAAGAAATTGAAGACAACTTTCTTACCACAGTATCGGTTTTCCACCTGTAAAATTTATCTCTTCATGCGTTCTCCGCCTGGGAAACATAGTGAACGATTGGACTCGGTGATTCTGGTCTAGTCAAACTACCCATTTACCGTACACTACTTGTATTATTATCAGTTAAACAGACAAAACGAATACTGTAACATGATTTTTTTTTGATTTTTTTTTACATAAACACCATGTTGTATGAATAACTGGTCCCAAAGATCTTTAAGTTTGATAAGCAAACCGTCCGATTGCTTTTTAAGGCCAATGAAAACTGATTAATACTTCTATATATATAGTGTTATCATATGTATATAATTAGAAATAATTGTATTCCAATTTGTGTATAGAATGATATATTTTGATTTATTTGGTGTTTGTCTTGTTATTTTAATACATGGTATACGAGATACGTTAAAGTATCCTTTGCTTCGTTTTCGATGTTTTCACAAATCATCACGGATTTATATTACATATCCGTGAAATCATGTAAACCGCTTTGTGAATTATCATAATTATTATGTGCCACTTGAAGTCTTTCCATGACACCAGCTGATTTGTTGATGTTTATCTAAAAACCTATCACGCGTATTAAATATAAAACAGTGTCTGTCACATGACCGTATTAACGCGAATATAGGTTTGCTTACAAAATACTGTTCTGATCCGCCCACGCAATTATATCGCGTCCATACCTAAAGTCTGTCTCAAAAAAAACATTCAATTTTATTTGAAATCTTTTAAATGCACCGGTGAAATATGTTTTAAGTTGTCATCGCTACTGTTAATAAATATATTTTAGTAATGGAAAGACGTGTTTATGCATTGCTTTGTATTTATGTACATGAATGTGTGTTTTACTCAAATAGTGTTTATATGTGCATTCATTAAATAGTATCAATGATTATACTGTACATATTTTAAGGATCTTGTTGCTTTGTATTTATGTACATGGTATCAATGATTATACTGTACATAATTTTAAGGATTTTGTTGCTTTGTATTTATGTACATGAATGTGTGTCTAATTCAAATAGTGTTTATATGTGCATTCATTAAAAAGCATCAATGATTATACTGTACATATTTTAAAGGCTTAAACAATTATGTTTCCTGTTGTATAGTATTTTGTTTTGCTTTATAAAATAAGTTTATGCAGATACTTAAAATAAATCTATTCATAATGGAATCTTTTTAAAAAGTTTGCCTGGCCATTCTAATTCTCGGTGGTCAGATGCAACTGGATTCTTCAGTATACTACAGATTCTAACGTGTGATTTTAACTATGCACATGATATCATTTATCATGAGCTCTGTCAATATGCTTGAAGCATTACAACCATTGCCATTATGTATAAAATATACCTCTCTAAGTCGTGTATGCAGGTAGAGTCTTACCGGCAGCTACTTCGCTTGCTTAAAAGCGCGACAATACGATGGTGACAATACGATGGTGAAGCGTGATAGTACGATGGTGAAGCGCGACAGCACGATGGTGAAGCGCGACAGTACGATGTCACCATCGTATTGTCATGCTTCACCATCGTACTGCCATGCTTCGCCATCGTACTTTCGTAGTGTCATCATCGTACTGTCGAGCTTCACCATCGTACTATCGCGCTTCACAATCGTACTGTCATACTGTCACCATCGTACTGTCATGCTTCGCGTTTTACATTCTTAGGGAGAACGCGCTGGCCCTAACGGAACACCGTACTTTTAGGCAGGTAAACTTGTTTCACTCAAAGCACACTGAAAAAGGACGCCTTTTTATGTCATTTAATAAGAAAAAACATAAATAAAAAAAGGAAAATAAGGCCATCAATTATTGATCGTTTCTGTTTTGTACAGCTCTTTTGCATTTTGTTTTTCTAAAGTTATTATTTTTCACAATAGTGAAGATCATTGACAAATCTATCTTATTTTTCTTGTTTATTTATTTATTTATTTAAAAAAGGAACTATACACAAGTATTTCAAATATACATTTTTAATTACACCACAAAGCAAAAAGGAAGTCTTACAATTTTGAACAAAAGATGTAGTAAACTAGCATTAACTATTTAAAATTTTTATAGCCGTGCATTGCATTCATCGTATTTCTCTATCATTAATATAGAGAATTTTGTAAAGCAAAAGGTTAAGATTTATTCTATCTGCTCGTTGTCCTTATTTTCAACTTTTTGTCGCAATTGCTTACCTGCATTTTGCCTGAATAACTGGAAAATCCTGTATGTATAGTAGGGTAAGTTCATGTAACAAATTACATACAGTATAATAAGGGCTAAGAACTGCAATGTTATATAATTGCTGTATGCTTAGGCGACCTTTCTTCAGATTTTCAGGTTTTTGTGCATGTATATACATGTATATGAGAGTTATACATGATGAGCAACACCCATTTTCAGCTCAAAAGGTCGAAGGTCGACCGTGGTCTCTGGTACGTGTATAAACAAAGTAAAACTGACTATGAAGTCAAAGCATATAACTTGTGAAATTTCAAAGTTTGTATGCAGATGAGTCCTATTTGCCGTGCCAATTTTGAGGTTAGCGGTATTTGGTAAAGGTCACAGTGACTTTTTATATATATAACGTTTTGTGTTAATATGTTCATGACTTCGAAACTTAATATGTTGACCTCTTGCCTGTGGACCAAATTTTAAGGTCAATTTGACAAATTATCTCACTCTGTATTTAGAAAATATGCAATTTAATATCCAACACTAACAAAAGTAGCGTATATTGTATATCATTGAATCATCTTGATTCCATACACTCTGAAAATGTTTAGAATTTTCATCACACTTTGAAAATTGATAATTAACTGGTAGTGCGCTCCTTCCATAAGAGACATAGCTTGAAGTGAACTCTTGTTTTTTACATTTATTTAATATCACTACATGAACAGACTTGATACAAAAGTAAGACAGACAAACATTCATAATAGTTTCTAACGACATACCGTAAAACAAACAAAGACAACTGACTCACTGAAATGAAAAAAAAAATGATTCACTGTATATTGACAATGACTGAAATATCGTAAAATGTTTTAAATACATGAGGTTTCTATTAAATACTGGATGTTTCTGAAGAAGAAATATCGACTAGGGACTTTAGACTTTCCTTTTCATAAAAGGAAGTTATTTTATGAATTCATTTTTTACAAATTTCCAAGCAACTTAAGTTTAATAATACATTTCATTAGATCTCCATTGTCAATCTTTAGAAAGGCGCATAAAAGCACGGATCAGTAACAATATTTACAATACAAAAGTGACAATTATAACGCTGTCTTAATACTGAATGTGAAAACAATAAAACATTTGTTTGCAAATGCTGTTTTTTTTTTCAGTTCAAGATCACGACTTAGCAATATACATGTAGTTTCATGATTATATTTTGCTTTTCTTATATACGTATGCCCATAACACTGTACTGTAAATGCTCATAGCAAAAATGCTTAACAAGAACATAACAATATCCATTTTCTTAAGAAGCTCATTCCATGTCAAGGTCTTGTCCATTTGTGGCATGTTTTCAAGTTCATATTCATCATTTGTTTTCGACATAGCGTCAACGCTTTTCACTTGATTTGATTTTATTTTACAGATGTTTATCTCGTTTGAACCTATGCTAGAGTTGATCTTAGCTTCTATAATGACATAGATAACGGTGAAGACGCTAAATATGAGGAGGGTAGTGACGTAGACAATGTAGTACGAGACTTGAATGGAGTTGTGGGGAAGGGATTCTCTCGTGATTGTGGCAAAGAAACCATATGCGAGGAACAGAGTGATAGACAATGATCCCTTCTCTCCTGACTCAATTGGTACAAGAAACGTGAAGACATTTAGCAAGGCAAGTGTTGCTAGAGGAATAATCATTGTATACACTGTAAATTCTGCTCTTCGCTGTACAGTGACTACGATGAAGACGACATTCGTATTGAATGGATCTATAACTTTTGCAGTAGTTTTAACAACACGCCATTCCGAGTTTTCCAAATGGTTAAAGTAATGAGTGACATGTGGTACATTTAGAAGCACGGTGTCTTTGTTTTCACCGGCAGCGTGATAAATCAATTCGCATGTTTGTACATCAAATGGATAATATTTAACAGTCACTTTGCACATGGAGCTAAAAAAAGCAACAAAATATAGCTTTGGGTAAGAGAAGGCATTGTTAATCAACAATTTACACTCCACAATTTGTTTCTATTAGCTCACAATAAAGTAAAAGCACACACAAAAAACACTTTCATAATTATTTTGCAATGACAATGAAATGTGATGTAAACAACTTATATCTATCTTTTCACTTCAGCTGATTTAGTAAATAACATAGCAAGAAATTTATTTGACATCAGATCAAAACATTTAAGTGTAGCCTACACACGAATATATTTTGTAGCATAATATTAGTTCATTTATTGGTAACAAATAATTATTTGTTCTAAAAATGAAACGGTTTGTTTGTTTGTTTGTTTAATTTTACGCCTTTTTCCAACAATATTTCAGTCATATAAGCGGGTAGTTTCCTAACCATCTTTCCTGGAGAGTTACACCAGTACTAGACTACCTTCCTCCGCGCTAAACTACCAAAGCATCACCCGGGGAAAAAATAAACAGAATTATTCTAGTGATGTTCAAGTGCAATAATATAAAGCTTACTAAATCATTTGGTAAAGCATACAAAGCTTATGATATATCACGTTTGCCACCGAACGTGTCATTTACCTTAGTTTGCATATTGACAGAAGTCCAAATGAAATTGTAGAATTTCAAACTCGATTAAATAACGTGAAAAAGAAGCGATTTTATATTATATATAAACTTACTTGAAAATCCCATCATGAGTCCACACGACAAATCCATTGTATGAGATTTTAGCTATTTCCGTTTCTTTATCACCCAAGGTCTTACTTGCATCGTTAGTCTGGAAATATAGAGTACTTTTAATTAATATAAAATCGTTTAATTATCGATATAGAACAGGTAAGTTATTGGTCTAAATTGTTTGTTATACTTTTTTACCCTTTCATTTTTTGGATCAATGACTTTGTTGTATTCTTCCGCGTAATTATAAATGCAGAAGGTTTTTTCGGGTACACAGATTTACTGTGCACATATTTATTTTCTTTGTGAAGACGTCTAGATAAACAATGCAGGGTTAACAAGCATTTCAATGGAACATTTTTCATATACTGTTTCTTTTATTTGGAAGGTAACTTTTATCTTATGTAAATTGTGAGATGCCTCAAGAAAGGAAATAAGAGAGGGTGAAAGAGACTGCAGATTATTATTATATTATATTATATTAAACTGTCTACGACACGGGGAAAGGCTTGGACTGCCGAAAAATAAATACAGACTCCTCCGTCAAAGAGCCCGAATATGGACAGTAATGCCGATAGCAATGAATTAGAGAAAAAGGCTCTCGTTGATAAACCTCGTGACTTAGCGGAAGCTGTAAAAACAAGTAAAAACAGCTGTAGTTATTGCTATTGCGTATACAGGTCACAGGTATACAGGTCACAGAACACGAATTGTATGTTCAATCTCTTGAGAAGTCATTGTCAACTGGTGCAGGAGTTTTGGATAATACTAGTTCTTATTCCAGTCATTTAGTGAAGGGGACCAGATTAAAGACGAAAGCCAATCCAGTGCTTTCTTTCAAGTCTTTTGCTTCATATACATCCGAGGCACCGGGGGCTGGTGGTCGTAGTGCTTCAGAAGCTGTTTTGTCATGACAACGTTCTTAAATAATCTGAGGATTCCAGAATTGATGATAGAGGCACTTCACAATTTAACCTTAACCCTCTTTGAGTTATGCCATAGATTAAAAACAAGGCTTTAAAACAATGGTAGGATACTACGTCATCGCGCACCTGCTGAATGCTCCCACTTGGACCATCTTTTCGTTGACTCAAAGGTAAAATACAATTTTATTATAAGAAAACGTAAGAGTATTAAAAAAGCATGTAGCGCACCAAAGAATGGCTATAGTACTTGAGATAACTGAAAAATAAGTTTATAGATTTATTGCCTGGTTTAGGCCTGAAAACGGGATAAGTGTTTTTCTCTGAATGCTCCCACTCGGACTTCTCCCGAAACATATATAAAAGCTAACAAAGCAATGTGCTTTCAAAATGTATAAATTTGGGTCCGAGTGGGAGCATCTCTGAAATCGAGTCCGAGTGGGAGCATTTTCCATTTTCATAAAAAAAACCTTTAAAAGACTGACTTTTGAATAGAAATATTTGAAACTAATAAAGAATAATGGGTATACATGACTCTGTTTATGTTCCGATACGTTAAAAATAATTTTAAAGAAGGTTTTCAACCTTATTTCATATATGTTTCGGGAGAAGTCCGAGTGGGAGCATTCAGAGAAAAACACTTATCCCGTTTTCAGGCCTAAACCATGCAATAAATCTATAAACTTTTTTTACAATTATCTCAAGTACTATAGCCATTCTTTGGTGCGCTACATGATTTTTTAATACTCTTACGTTTTCTTATAATAAAATTGTAGTTTACCTTCGAGTCGACGAAAAAATGGTCCAAGTGGGAGCATTTAGCAGGTGCGCGATGACGTAGTATCCTACCATTGTAAAAGAGCTTCAAAGATTGGGAGTTGTATTTGATTAATCTTCGGATTTTTCTGAAAGTTATGATGGTTGGAATTCAAAAAAGAAAACCATAAAGAACATAAACAGAAAAAAGAAATAGGGTATTTCTTCCAAGTCTTTTGATTCTGTGAAAATCAAACAAAAATATCTGCATTCAAAATTAAGATTAATTTTGTCAGTAAAAACATAACCTTTTATGATTTAGAAGTCTGTCTTTTCATTGCAGGAGAGTTAGAAATAATTTCTAAAATTTAAAACAATTAGTGCTCTAGAGAAAAAAGAATGAATTTCTTTTCTAAAAAAATAATGTACATGTTTATGAATTCTTCGTTTGATACTTCAGAAATCAAATCTTTTTATGCGAAAGTTTTAAGAGAGATAGCCCTTGGTTTAGGTAGCTTGTGTGATGATTTTACTTATATGGAATCAGCTGTTTTAGCCAAGCACAGGTTTCGAAGAAGAATCAGTCTGAATTACATGTTCAGTATTCTTCTTCAACTCAAATGAAGTTTCAAATCAAATCTGGGTGGAAATGATGATTATTAAATTTGGGTTTGTCCGAAATATCAGAGGAATAAATGCAATTTTAAATCATCACATGCCATTTACTGACAAACATGTTACAACAAGATTTGTCAAGCACATATGATGGAAAGAAGAACTTGATCATCCAGAGTGTTCGTCTGCTTGCCTTCACATGTCAGATTGACTGTTAAATTGACAAAGCTAAACAAAATATTTTTTTAAGGTAAAGAAATTGTCATTTATTCCTTCCTAGCTTTTGTTAGCTCACCTGAGCTTGCTCAGGGTGAGCTTTTAGGATCGATGAATGTCCGTCGTCCGTCGTCCGTCGTCCGTCGTCCGTCCGGCCGTCCACAATTGCTTGTGAACACTCTAGCGGTCGCATTTTTGCCTCAATCATCATCAAACTTGGTCAGGATGCTTATCTAGTTGAAAGCTCGGATGAGTTCGAATATGGGTCATCTCAGATGAAAAACTAGGTCACAAGAGCTAAAAATAGAAAAACCTTGTGAACACTCTAGAGGTCACATTTTTGACCCAATCTTCATCAAACTTGGTCAGGATGTTTGTCTAGGTGATAGCTCGGATGAGTTCGAACATGGGTCATCTCGGATGAAAAAGTAGGTCACAGGAGCTATAAATAGAAAAACCTTGTGAACACTCTAGTGGTCACATTTTTGAACCAATCATCATCAAACTTGGTCAGAATGCTTGTCTAGTCAATTGCTTGGATGAGTTCGAACATGGGTCATCTCTGATGAAAAACTAGGTCACAGGAGCTAAAAATAGAAAAACCTTGTGACCACTCTAGTGGTCACATTTTTGACCCAATCATCATCAAACTTTGTCAGGATGCTTGTTTAGATAATAGCTAGCATGAGTTCGAATATGGGTCATCTCGGATGAAAAACTAGGTCACCGGAGCTATAAATAGAAAAAACCTTGTTAACACTCTAGCGGTCACATTTTTGCATCAATCATCATCAAACTTGGTCAGGATGCTTATCTAGTTGATAGCTTGGATGAGTTCGAACATGGGTCATCTCGGATGAAAAAGTAGGTCACCGGAGCTAAAAATAGAAAAACCTTGTTAACACTTTAGCGGTCACATTTTTGCATCAATCATCATCAAACTTGATCAAGATGCTTGTCTAGGTAATAACTCGGATGAGTTCGAACATGGGTCATCTCGGATGAAAAACTAGGTCACAGGAGCTAAAAATAGAAAAACCTTGTTAACACTCTAGTGGTCACAATTTTGACTCAATTGTCATCAAACTTGGTCAGGAAACTTGTCTAGGTCATTGCTGGGAATAAATCGAACATGGGACATCTTGGATGAAAAACTAGGTCACAGGAGCTAAAAATAGAAAAATCTTGTTAACACTCTAGTGGCTACTGTTGTGATCCAAATATTCTGTTAATTGGTCTGAAAGTTTGTTTTGATGATTTCTAAGTCAAGATCGAACATGGGTCATCTTGGATGAAAAACTAGGTCACACCGCCCAAATATGGAAAAACCTTGTTAACATTCTAGTGGTCACATTTTCGACTCCATTATCATCAAACTTGGTCAGAATGCTTGTCTAGGTAATTGCTTGGATGAGTTCGAAATCGCATGTGAAACTAGGTCACCGGAGCTAAAAATAGAAAAACCTTGTTAACACTCTAGTTGCTACTGTTTTGATCCAAGTATCCTGGAAATTGGTCTGAAAGTTTGTTTTGATGATTTCTAGGTCAAGTTTGAATATGTGTCACCTGGGTAAAAAACTAGGTCGCACTGCTCAAATATGGATAATCCTTGTTAACACTGTAGTGGTCACATTTTTGACTCACCTGTCATGAGACTTGGTCAGAATGCTTGTCTAGGTAATTGTTTGGATGAGTTTGATAATTCAGGTGAGCGATCTAGGGCCATCATGGCCCTCTTGTTTGATTTCCAGTCATAAGGAAAATGATAAATTGTTTTCTTTCTTCAGT